GAGCCGGGATGTGACAAAGGCATGAATTACTGTCTCAAAGTGTTCATGAGAGAGGAGAGGTTTTACTTTGGCCAGCTGTCTAAGGTGAAAGAAGGTGGATTTAACAACGGCACCAATTTGCCGGTCAAGTTTGAAATCACTTTCCAGTTTAAGGCCCAAGTTTGAGACTGTTGACTTAAAATAAGGAGACAGGAGGTCCAAGTCTACAGGATGGAATGTACAAGGGCCACTGGGACCAAACAGTATTATCATTGAAAGTCAAGAAATTTTGTGCCATCCAGGTTTTGATTTCTTCCAGGCAGGATAGAAGTGGCCTGAATGAGAAGGCGTCTTTTTTGCTCAGTGGGACATAGATCTGGCAGTCATCTGCATAGCAGTGGAAGGAAATACCATGTTTCCTTAAGATGGAACCCTGGATGGAATACTGGGTTATTGATTTGTTTTGGTGATGTGTGTCTTCATGTCAGATTACCTTGTTCTCAGCATAAGCTAGCCAGCGATTTCCCAGTGCGACTGGATTGAGATTTGGTCCAGGACATGGGTAGCAACCTGAAAGACCCAAAGTCAATTGCATTCATATTTTTTACGGATACCGTGAATGAAAAGATAAAGATGATGGGATGCTACGCAAAGATGTAAAAAATAAAGCATGTCCCGTAAATTGCGGATTACAAGCCGCTACTTTTTTTCCCACACTTCCAACAGTGCGGCGTGTAATATGAAGCGGCTTTTTAATTTTTTTTTTTCCATCGCGGGAAAAACATGGACCAATAAAATGAATGAGGTCCAATGAGATTGTATGACTAATCACAACTTCCGCTGTTTTTGCCGTAGCGGGGGGGATGTGTTACTCGGCAACAGTCGACCAATAAAATGAATGAGTAGTACACAGGGGTCCAATGAAATTGTATGATTACCGGTAATCACAACTTCCTTATTTCAGTCTTTCTTCTAACCCTGATCAACATGGAGAATACCAGAAGAAAAGCATATGATGCAGCTTTGAAACTAAAAGCGATCACTCTGGCAGTTAAAGAAGGAAATCGAGCTGCTGCCCGTAAGGCGTAGAACAAAAAGTAGTGTGTTTCCGGTAACCCGACCGACCGAGAATTTCTACGTCGAAAAAAAACTTTACAGTCTGCATTTTTTTCAAACAACCCTCTACATTTTTGTGTAGAGGGTTTACATCGGTGCAAACTCTCGCTATATTCACGTTGAGCGCGAGCATCGTTTGCCCTGTCATCTGTCAACAACATTGAAACATGGCGGCAGCCGCGATCTCCGACGACAGTTTAAACTGCGTTTTCTGTGTTACAGCCGCGTGCTCGCACCGTAATGTTAAGAAAATAGCATCCATTGATGTATCGAAAAAATAAAGCCAACTATTTGATGAACACCACGGGCCGAGTAAAAACCGAGGGCGGAGGAGGGAGGAGGAGGACGGCAGAGGAGGACGGCGGAGGCGGCAGCGCGCCCCGGCCCCCGAGTCCGGAGCGGGGAGAAAACTAAATTGGTGGCGGCGGCGCCAGCCGCGGAGCGGGGGATTCAATGTCTTCTTGTTTTATGGTTATTTTGTTTAAATTTTTGATGGGGAAAAAAAAAAGATTAAAAAAAAAAAAACTTTGTCCGACCTACCGACCCTATGCTGAAATTTCTTGTTACCGGAAACACACAATCTTTTTTGTTTGGCCTAATCTTGGCATCGACGATTCGATGGTGCGAAGGTAGAGGCTCCGGCAAGAAGAACTGAGCCAGTGTAAAAAGACAACCAAAGCTTTTAAAGGTTTTAAAGGTGGGCCATCGTGGTGTTATAGATTCATGAAATGGAAGCCTGTCTATTAGGGCACGCACGACGTTGTGTCAGCAGCTCCCTCCCAATTATGAGGACAAACTTGCTTCGTTCGGCACATTCACACAACAGAGATGAAAGTGGACTTTCCTGAAAATTCCGGAAAAAAAGAAAAAATTATATATACTGTGTGTGTGCGTGTGTGTGTGTGTGTGTGTGTATATATATACATATACACATATATATATATATATGTATATATATATATATATATATATACACATGTATAAAATGTATGTATATTAGAGCTGTCAAACGATTAAAATATTTAATCTAATTAAAAATGCAACTGTCATAATTAACTCAAATTCGCGAAAAATTAATCGTGATTATTCACACATTTTTTGTCGTTTCTGAATTTCCTTTTATTTTTTTTGTCCTATTTTTTCCCGTTTTAATGCTCTCATCAACATGGAATCGTCAATCAGTTTTCTTTGTGCAAAATGCAAATATTTACTGAAATAACAATTTCGATTTTCAATTTTACATGAACATTTTTCACTTGGAGCAGTTATTCATACATAATCTCTCACACAATATTACTGTCCATCAACAACAGTGAAAAAAATATTCCGTCACACAACAGCTGCTTTAACAGCTCTTTTTATGGAATCAAAACAGAGCAATATAAAATTATAAAGTGCACATCTAAGGTAAACTAGTACTCAGCCTATCGTGGATTTAAGCCATGGTTGCATACTTAGTTTTTCTCAAGTTTGCTTTGAACACAGCAGTCAGACTATGTTGATTCTGTTGGTCCTTCTTGCGCGGAAGTCTCTCTATGGTTTTGTGTAGACATCATTTCGGATGACTGCACTTGGTTCGAGGCACAACACTGGAGACATTTTATTATCAGTGTGGTCGCTACCACTGCACCGCTGAACTCTCGACGTGCCTCAGTGCACTGTCGCTGTCAGACAAACACAGAGAAGCTCCACCCCCATTATTTATATGGACACGGAACATGGTAACCTTCCACACAAAATAGTTCCAAACAAGTAACAATCGTGTCAGTGGCATACATCGTACTCAACAGAATGCCTGCTCTTTATTCACCAGAGGCTCATCAACCTAGTCTCTAATTTCTTTCCCGAAACAGTGTCTTCTCCCGCTTGGTGTACCTTAGCCTTCTTCGCTACGTACAATTTCTGTTCATAGCTTGTAGTGGAGGCTCTCGCTGGCAATCCGTAGTGGAGTCGTTA